AAAAAAAAAAAAAAAATGAACAACAAGTGTTGATAAGAATGTGAAGAAACTGAAATGCTTGTACATTGCTAGTAGGACTAAAATAGTACAGGCAGTGTAGGAAACAGTTTGGTGGTGCTGTTTGTTTAAATAAATGAAAGCTTGTATAACAAATGTACACAGCAGCACTATTCACAATGGCTGAATGATGAGAACAACCCTACTATCAAGACCACATATTACATGTTTCCATTTATATGATTGGTCCAGAATATATCAATCTATTAGAAATATAAAGTAGATTAGCGGTTGCTTGTGTGACAGAGTTTTGGGCTGGGTAGGGGAATAGTTAAAGGGTACAGAGTTTTATTTGGTAGTGATAAAAATGTTCAAAAACAGACTATAGTGATGTTTGTACATCTCTGTGAATATATTGAAACTACTGAATTCTACACTTTAAATGGGTGAATTGTACAGGATGTGAATTCTCTCTCAATAAAACTGCTTTAGAAACCAAAAAATTTTAATTTATCCTACAATTGCAACAACAGACTACTGTAACAGGGATTTTTCTTAAGTAAGTAGATATTAGCTGCTCTTGTCATCAAAAAAACTATGTGAGATGATAGGTATGTTCATCTGCTTCACTACAGTAACCATTTTACTATCTATATGTATCCCATAACACCATGTTGTAAACCTCAAAATATATACAACACAGTTTTATTCTGAAAAAAGACTATACATATATATGGATAAGGACAAAGAGACATTGCAAAAAAATGTTGATATGTTAGGGATGTGAGACTCCAGGTAGTTTTGTTTCTTTTGTTAAAATGTTTGTATATGTTTAAATAAGTATTTTAAAAATTACAATATAGAAATATTTGTAGCTCACCTTTATAAATAAGGGGTTTATCTTTATCTTCTGTCTTCTCCCTACTAGCTAATTCAAGAAAATCTTCAATCAAGTCCAGAGATATGAGAGACTGGCTGAAAACAAGGCTAAAAAAAACAGATTAGTGTTCATGGATTAGAAGATTCTTAGTAAAGATATCACTTCTTTCTAAATCAATCTACAATTTTAACACGATTGTAATAAAAATCCCAGCAGGATTTTTTTTGTAGAAATTACAAGGTGATTGTAAAATGTATATGAGAATGCCACACCAGAGGAGGGAAGACAATTCTGAAAAAGAAAACAAAGTTGGAAGCCTGACTCTTCATGATTTCAATACTTACAAAGGTACAGTAACCAAGACAGTGCAGTACTGGTAAAGGGGCAGGCACAGATCAATAGAACAGAAGAGAGTCTAGATAGAGAGCTACATAGTATGTTTAACTGTAGGGCCCAGGCATTCAATGGTAAAAGTAATCCTAGCACTTTGGGAGGCTGAGGCAGGCAGGCTGCTTGAGCTCAAGAGTTCGAGACTAGCCTGGGCAACATGGTGAAACCCTGTCTCTGCTAAAAATACAAAAACTAGCTGGGCATGGTGGTATGCACCTGTATTCCTAGCTACTGGAGAGGCTGAGGTGGGAGGATCACCTGAGCCCGGAGGTCAAGACTGCAGTAAGCCGTGATTGTGCCACCATACTCCTGCCTGGGCAACAGGGCAAGAGCCTGTCTCATGAAGAAATTAAAAGAAAAAAGAAAGAAAGAATAATCAAGCAGGTGAAATAAAATAAAGTCTGAGAGATGTCCACTAGATTTGAGGATTAGAAGGTCACTAGTGACTTTACAGGGGGAAATCTCAGGAAAGCAAGAATAGAAGCCACATAACGTAAGCCGAAAAATGATTTTGAAGATGGAGAAATACAAATATCAACTAAAAGCTCTACCCAAATAAATAAGTTCCAGGTGCAATAGCTAGAAGCAGAAATTATCACTGAAGAAATAACCTGAATATGCAATCAGAACTAGTGGCTTACAAGGAAGACAGTTGCTTGTATTGGCCTAGCACTACAATAACCTAATAAATCACATCTTTAGGCAGGAAGGAAAAATAACAGATTTGTTCAAATACCTTGTTTAAGCAATAAAAAGGTTATCAAAAGGTTCATTTATATAATAAATATAGTAAAGCACTTACACTTTATCTCCAATTTCCTCTGCCATTCGAAGAATTTCAAAGAGAAGTACCATTTTTCCAGAATGCTCTAAAACCTCAGCATCAGCATCTGTAACAAAATCTTTGTACCAGTCTGGAGCTGGGCTGCTTGGATTAGAAGAGGAAGCAGCTTTACCTAAATAAGACAAATGGAACATAAGTAAGTAGGTAAATTAGAAAAGAAACAGAAAGAGAGCAAGAGAGACAGAAAAAGACCTATCCATGGGGAGAATAAGGGCGAAATTGATGGGGACTTGGGAGAGGGGAGAGAAAAAGAGGCAGGCAGGCACACACACACATGCAGCACAGACAGAGACTATCCCAGAGTGAGTTGTAGATAGAGAAAGGGAGAGGAAGGAGATACCAAATAAGAGAACAAGCAAGAGATTGACTCTGAGAGACTGCAAGTTTAAGAGACAAACCCTCAGAGCAGGAGTGGAGCTCAGAAGAGAGACCCAAAGAGATGGGAAACCACCCCCCTCCCACCAGGCCCCAAGAGCTTAAAACCACTCCCAAACATACTCCATGAGACAGCAATCAACAGAGATGGAAAGGCAAAGTTATCAAGAGAGAAAAGACCTTGGGGGTAGAAAACATTTCACTGTGCTACTAGGATCTGGAAACTGCCAACAAGAATTAACCCCAGAATCAGCATATCATATCAAATGATTTTGTTCTTATATATTTTTCCCACAAACTTTGACTATGAAAGGTGGAAGGAGAAAGTAGCACAAAACAATCTAATAAAAGATTTAAACATAGTTTGATTCAAAATAAGAAATATGCAGGCTTACAGCATGTTTATACACTTTCTCAATTGCTTTTTAATGCAAAGTATTTTAAAATATATTTTTGTTACAAAAATTTAAATAAATACCCAGAAAACTATATAAAAGAAACAAATGTGCTTCCACATTCCATCTTCATTAAATTTTAACACTGTTAAAACTTCGGATGCAGCTGAAGCCTAACATGATCCTATATGATCACATTCTCTTTCCTTCCTTCTTTTCCAATAAGTAACTAAACCCCTAAATTATATATTTACCATTTTTATGCATGTTTTTATGTTTTTAACTACATGTGTATCACTAAACTGTACAAATGGCTATACTGTTTGTAAAATCCTACAAATTACTTTTTCACTCAAAGTGAGACTTGCTCATGCTTGTCACGGAGCTCCCGTTCAATCAATCTAACTGTCATGTAGTATTCCACTGCATGAATACACTATCATTTATTAGTTCTCCTCATAGACATCTAGAGTGTTTCTTATTTTTGGCTACTATGAAATAAATGCAATGAATACTCATTGTTGAGTATATTTTTCTTAAATACTGTGTGTATTTTAAGTTTTAAATTTTCTGGCATAAAGTTATGATTAGAAATTTTAAAAATATCATTTTAGACATACTTATAGTCTTTATCAAATACTTCTATTATCAGAAGTTCCTGAGAATGTAATTATGCTAACTTTCCTCAGGTTGACTACTAATACTTTCTGTTGTTAGCTTTTCTTGATGTTATTTCCTTAGGTGTAGCTATAATCTGTGAAATTCCTGGGTAGCCTTGGTTAAGGTCATATATCTCCGGAGTAATTCTACATTTGTTTCTATCAGGTGCTCCAGGTAATCACCAACTCAGAATTACTTATGAAGTTAATATTTCAGCTTAGGATCTTTTAGGCTATATAAGTAATATAAATTCAAACCATAAAGTATGTGAGGTAAAGGCCATGATCATAAATTCAATAAAACTATTATTCCCAACCAAGAGCCCTGGCTGAAATAGATAAGCTTCCTTGTCATCTCCCTGGATTGTCCATGGGGTTGTAAACTTTAAAGGGATTCAGCTTTGAAAAGGGGTCAGAGAACTCTCCAACTTATAGAGGACTTGAAGTCTCGAATCCTGTCCCTGGATAAATGAAAATTAAAGCTGCTAGTCTCAAGACTAGCATCTCCCTAGGATTTCCATAGCATACCTTCTTCAATTTACCATTTAGGCTTATCAGTTCCCTCCTTATGTCTGGGCATATAGTAAGCACTTTATAAATATCTGTTGAGTGAATAAATATGGTATATTAGTACTAATATTATGGCTCTATATCATATACAAGGATTCTGTCACAAAAGTTTATATCTATACAATTAATTACACACATTTTAAAATGCAAATGCTTACAGATGAAGCTTACTCTAAAAATACTTAAGTAATAATAAATCTAGCACTGAAGTAATTTACAGTCATTTAGTGATCACAAACTTGCCTCCTAATAAAACATTTAAAACACAGAAATGGGGATGATGCAAGCTAAACTTACATGATTCATTCAAGATGCTGCTTCTCAGAAAAATGAGAAAGCTACTACATAAGGATTAAAGCAAACAGTAACTCTGTGATGTGAAAATAAAATATGTGGCAACAATCATATTGTAGCTCAATTATAGCTATCTAATTATTTAATATCCATTCGAATTTCAGGTGTAACATTTTTAGCTCCTTAATACTTCCTTCAGATTATGAGACCAATGTGCTGCCTACTGCGCTAAGGAGGCAGACTAGCCCCTTAATACTTCCTAATCAGATTTTCTTCTATTTGCTGTAAGAAAGTGATTTTCTTAAGGTTATATAGTACCAGCTATATATGTCCATACATTATGATATACTCAGTTTTATATGGAGTTAATTATGATGCAAAGAAAAAAACAAATTTTTATTATCTATTGGTTCTGGAGAATGCTTCTAAAATGCTATACATGTATGTAAGCTGCAAAAATATATTTTAAAAAACCATATACAAATGATTTATATTTGACTGCACACAACTAAAATGAAATAAAAATCCTAGACAAGTGGTCAAAATTTGTCTTTTGGAACCGATGGCCTTCCCTGTGTTGTTTCTGGCTCATGACGTGTAGCCTCCTACATTCTGCCCCCAGTGCTTTCCAAACCATTCAATTATGGCATACATAAAAAATGGTAATGCTCATATAGTAAACCAGGAAAAACAGAAGAGACTACTCATTTATGGAGGCAACCCAGCTGCTTCAGATTCTAACTGTACTTCCATGTGATAAAAGAATCAATATCTCAGCACACTTAAAAAAAATTCTCAGTATATTTTTATGTAACCCATTTATAGCACAGGATGATGCACACTGACTGGTCTGCTCCTCTTCCCCTTTTAGCTATAAGTTATGAGAAAAAATTCAACAAGAATATTCTAAGAAAATAATTTCCAGGAACATGTAAACTTTACATATTTTTAATCATGAAATAAGAGACTGAGGAATTTATGTGGAAAAGGCAAATTGCGGCAGCAGGGAAGGATATACAGGAGCTTGTCATTGCCTTAAATAACACTACAATAATTTATTATTCTGATAAAAATATTCTTTATATATATATATCTCTCTGGAAGATGAACAGAAGAAAAGAATGAGAAGAGAAATTTTGTAGTTTAATTTTCACTATCCCCCGATTTCCTAAGGGAAGCCAGAATCTGTGGTTAGACTGCCATCTGTCTATTCCATGGAGGTACTGAAGAGAGAAATGTTCATAAAGAAATTACCAAATTAGAAAGAATTTATAACTAATTTCTCAGAAACAATTGCAACAGAAACAGAAATTGACAACTGGGACTTAATTAAACTAAAGAGCTTCGGCACAGCAAAAAAGAAAAAAAAAAAACTATCAACAGAATAAACAGATAACCTACAGAATGAGAGAAAATACTCACAAACTATGTATCCAACAGTGGTCTAATGTCCAGAAACTATAAGGAACTTAATTCAATAGCAAAAAAAAAAAACAAATAACCCCATTAAAAAGTGGGCAAAAGACATGAACAGCTACTTCTCAAAAGAGAACATACAAGCAGCCAACAAACATGAAAAAATGCTTATCGTCACTAATCACAGGAGAAATGCAAATCCAAACCAAAATGAGATACCAGCTCACACCAGTCAGAATGGCTATTATAAAAAAGTCAAAAAACAGCAGATGCTGGAGAAGCTGCAGAGAAAAGGGAACATTTATGTTGGTGGAGTTGTAAATTAGCTCACCATCTATAGAAGGCAGTTTAGAAATTTCTCAAAGAACTTAAAGCAGAACTGCAATTTGACCCGGCAATCTCATTATAAGTATAAAACAAAAGGAAAATAAATCTACCAAAAAGACACATACACTCATATATTTATTACAGCACTATTCACAACAGCAAAAACATGGAGTCAACCCAGGTGCCCACCCACAGTGGACTGGATAAAGAAAATGTGGCACATAGAAACCATGGAATATACACAGCCACAAAAAGAACAAAATCATGTCCTTTGCAGCAACATGGATACAGCTGGAGGCCATTATATACTGAGCAAATTAACACAGAAACAGAAAACCAAATACTCCATGTTCTTACATATAAGTAAGCCAAACACTGGGTACAGGTGCATATAAAGATGAGAACGACAGAAATGGATGACTACTAGAGTGGGGAGAGAGAAAAGGGGCAAAGACTGAAAAACTAACTATTGAGTATTATGTTCAGTACCTGGGGAATGGGATCAATCATACCCCAAAGCGGAGCATCATTCAATATACTCATGTTAACCAACTGGCTAATGTATCCCCGAATATAAAAGTTGAAGTTATAAAAATAAAACTAAAATAATTAATCACCAAATAGTTCGTTGTAGACCTGAGACCAGCCAAGTTTATTTGATCACTAACCTAGTTGGCCGCAACAACTCTTTTCTCTTCACAGACAGTTAACTGCTTTGCTCCACAACTCCTAAATGCCAAATATTTAGAGCCATTACCTTGTTCTCTCTTCATATTACCTGCTATTTCAAATAGGCAGATATTTGGTCACAGCTTTTAAACTCCTAAACATACAGGCTGCACTAGGAGGACACGGTGTCTCGACACTAATCCTTCAACATATATACAGGGCAAAGACAACTTAAACCACTGCAGAGTTCAATCTAAGACTTCACTTTCATGCACAAGAGAGACAGAAAGAAAACAAAAGAGGTGACACCAACTGTACATAATACAGAGCAAACCTAAAGTAAATAATTACAGATTATGAAGAATCACAAAAGTATTAAAACGTTTTACTGTATAATACTGACTAAAAGTTAACTACAATCACAATTATCTGAAATATTTCTATTTATTCCCATATAGTTAAGTGAAACTATTATGATGGCTTTGAGATTAGACATATCTAGGTCTGAATTCCAGCTCTCCCACTCATTTTTTAAACTATCAACTACAAAGCAAGGCTGCTCAAGAATTCAGTTAGCTAACATATGTAGTGAAAATAATAGGGTTTAGGTATATTCGAGTAAATAAACATTGGTTTTTCTTTTTACCTTTCCTCCCAAATACCAGAGAATTCACAGTGGCTTGCTTATAATTAAAGATTCATCAGATATTTACTGTACTTCTGAGTATTTGATTAGACTCATCAATTAAGGAAAGAAATTCCTTTGAGTAAAGTCAGGATAAGTGACTGAAAAAAGCACTAATGACATGACATTTTCCAAATCACTGTTCCATGATAAAGGTAACATTCATTAGACTCACTTTCTTCCAGCTTTAAAGAAACAGAAGGATTGTTTCCTGTTTCATCCACATTTCCTTCACCACCTCCCCGAGATCTTGAATTCCAGACCTTAATCACTTCAACATCATTGTCACTGCCACTTCCACTTGAGCTACTATCTTTTTTCCCCTTTTTCCCCTTTGTTTTCTTCTTCCTAAAAAAAGTAACAAATTCAGATTGTTAGATAAACACAGGAAAGATATAAATGCCAATAAGAGGACAACCAGCAAGTAGGGGTTTTAACTTTGTCAATACAGGACACAAAAAAGTGTTCAATTTACTTTGTATAATCATCGGAGCTCAAACTCATGGAGGTTTCATCAGAATCTGAGGCTATAAATTCATCCATACTGTCTTCATCAAAATAACCCTAGGGAAAAAAAATAACCACTATTTTAATAGTATATTTTAACTTATATTGGAAAATAATGATGTTCATTTAAGAATAAGTAAATTGGTATAAGCTAAGGAGGGACTTAGGAACTATCATAGATTAGAGGAGACGAAGACAGGACAGATATGATTACTAAATGCAATGAAAGGTCGTAGATTGGATCATGGAAAAGAAAAAAGAGTTAGCTAAGTAAAAGTAAAGTCTGCCATTTATTTAACAGTATTCTACCAAAGTTAGTTTCTTAGTTTTGATAACTTTATTATAGTTATGCAACATGTTGATATTAGAAGAAACTGGGTCAAAGGTATAGGGGAATTCTCAGAAGTATTTTTGCAACTTTTCTATAAGTATAAAATTATTTCAAAATAAAAAGTTTTTTAAAATGGGCTTAATAAAACAACATTTAACACTCCTTCTATAACCATAATACATGCAAGACATATAGAAGTTAGAAATAAGACATAAAATAGAACAAAGCAATTGAAAATTTGAATATACAGTAAGTCTGTATGTCACTTTTTCTTCTAAGTTTATTCTGCTTCCAACAGATGCTTTTAAATTAAGTTACCTAACTCACCTTATTTTCTTTGCTAATGTAGTCTAGCTGCAAACACCAAGGATGAGTCCATATTCTACTTAACATCTGAAAATCCTGGAAAAGCTTTGCACCTGCCTTTCCTCTTCCACCTTCACTGTTATTACCCACACCTGATCAAAAGAAATGTGGTTAAAGACACAAAAATTATCTATCAACCAAGTTTTTAGATTAGGAGTTTCAATCTTACTTGTGACATAAACTCCCTTTGGCAGTGTAGAGAAGTTTATAAACCCTCTTTCTTAGCATATCATTTTTGAAACACAAAACAAACAGGATTACAAAAGAAACCCATCATATAGAAATTATCAAAATATTAAAGAACAAATTTATACTATAGAAATATATGCTTTTTAAAGTTAATGCATTAACAAAATATGCACAGGTTTAATAAATACTTAAAATTCTGAAGCACTGATAAACATAAATGATTTTGAGGTAACAGGAACGACATATAAAACTATTTCTGATTTCTATCGGTAACAAAGTCATGGTTATCACTAATACTACTATAGATTGTTGCCTCTATTAATCACTGGGAAAAATCCTGCTGCTTTAGCTAGAGTTTAGGGAAAACTAATATATAATTTTTTTCTTATTCAAGTACATATCATCCCCTAAATTCTACCCATGAACCCTAGATTACAAACTACTGTTATAAATAAACTTCACTCCAAGCAGATAGTTCTGTACCAATTCTCTCCAACTATGCTCACTCAAAAAAATTACTTCCAGGCCAGTGACAGTAGCTCACACCTGTAATCACAGCACTTTGGGAGGCCAAGGCAGGAGGATCACTTGAGGCCAGGAGTTCAAGACAGGCCTGGACAACATAGTGAGGCTCCATCTCTACCAAGAAAAAAAAAAACTAAAAACATTAGTCAGGTATGACGGCACACACCTATCCAAGTACCCTAGATATCCTAGATACTTGGGAGGCTGAATTGGGAGAATCATTTGAGTCCAGGATTTTGAGGTCACAATGAGCTATGATTGCACCACAGCACTCCAGCCTGGGTGACAGAGTAAAACCATGTCTCTTAAAAAAGCTGGGTGCAGTGGCTCATGCCAGTAATCCCAGCACTTTGGGAGGCCAAGGTTGACCTAAGGTTGGGAGTTCGAGACCAGTCTGACCAAGGTGGAGAAACCACATCTCTACTAAAAATACAAAATTACTTGGGCGTGATGGTGCATGCCTGTAATCCCAGCTACTTGGGAGGCAGGAGAATCACTTGACCCAGGAGGTGCAGGTTGTGGTGAACCGAGATCGCACCACTGCACTCCAGCCTGGGCAACATGAGTGAAACTCCGTCTCCAAAAAAAAAAAAAAGATCTTCTAAAAATTAATTATGTTTTTGATGTACAAAATGTAAATATTAGCTTTGCTCTATCCAGAATTTCAACAGAATTATCATTGTCCTATAAAAAATAAAATGAATGCACGTTTCATTAATAAAATTATCAAGGTAAAATGCAAAAGAAAACTGATTAATACAAAAAAAACAGCATTTAAGCAATAACATATTTTCCTACCCAGTTTTAAGCAATGTAAGTTGTTTAAATAATTACCAATAATTAGCAAGTTTTGCCTCCATGAGTGATTGAGAGAAAATTTAGTAGTGATATGAAACACTAATAATGCCTAAAAACCTGCTGCATATTATTTTGCCTGATAGAAGTATTTCTATTGTGTAACAGAAATCAGTGCTATGAAAGTGAGGTATCTAATTTCTCGGCATACACAGCTGTTCACAATATTCACTTATAATTTTATTTCTGTAAGGTCAGTAGTGATATTCTTTCATTCCTTACTTTAGGTCATTTTTCTTTCTGGTTTTGTTTTAATTTTTTAAAGACAGAGAGTCTGACACTGTCACCCAGGCTGGAGTGCAGTGGCACAATCACAGCTTACTACAACCTCCAACTCCTGTGGGTTCAAGCCATCTGCCTGTCTCAGACTCCCAAAAAGCTGGTATTAAAGGCACATGCCACCAGGTTTGGTTAACTCTTTTTTTTTTATTGTTTTTTTTGTAGAGACAGGGTCTCGCTTTGTTGACCAGGTTGCTCTCAAACTCCTAGCTTTAAAGGATCATTCTGCCTCGGCCTCCCAAAAGGCTGGGATTATAGGCATGACCCACTGTATTCGGCCCTTATTTTAGCTGTGGCTTTTTCTTCATTAATTTGTAAGTGAAGGAAGGTTTGCCAATTATGTTAATCTTTTCAAAGAACCTACTTTTGGTTTCAATGATTTTCCCCACTGTTTTTCTATTCTTCATGTTTCTTTATTATTTCCTTCCTTCTGCTTGTTTTGGGTTTAATTGCTCTTATTTTACTCTCCTTAAGTAGAAGGTTAGATTATAAATTTGAGATCTTTCTTCTTTTTTAATACAGGCATTTATCACCATACATTTCCCTCTAAGTACTACTTAAGTTATATCCCATATTCTGGTACCATGTTTTTGTTTTCATTAACCTCTAAGCATTTTTTAATTTCCCTTTTGATTTCTTCTTTGATCCGTTATATAGGTGTGTGTTGTTTAATTTACATCTATTTATAAATTTTTTAACTTTCCTTCAGCTAGTGGTTTCTAATTTCATTTGAATGTGGTTAAGGAAAATATTAATTAGAGGAAAGTTCTAATGATAAATGCTAATATCAAAAAAGAAGATCTCAAATAAGGAACCTACCTTTATACCTCTAGGAGGTAGAAAAAGAGTAAGTTAAACCCAAAGCTTGCAAAAGAAAGGAAATAAGGATCAAAACATTAGTAAATAAAAAAAAAAAAAAAAAAAAAAAAAAAAAACCTTAGCCTATTAAGAAAAAAGAAAGAGGACTCAAACAAAATAGACATGAAGACATTACAACCAATGCCTCAGAAATAAAAAAGGATCATAAAGCGCTAGTATGAAAAATTATACACCAAGAATAATAATCTATAGGAAATAAATTCCTACAAACATACAATATATCAGAACTGAATAAAAAAGGAATGGCCTCAACAGAACAATTACAAATAAAAAGACTGAGGCTACTTGGGCTCTTATTTGGTTCCATAAGAACTTCGGGATCATTTTTCTAATTCTATAAAAAAAGACACCGGTATTTTGATAGAGATAGGATTGAACCTGTAGATTCCTTTGGGCAGTATGGTCATTTTAATAATACTAATTCTTTCATTTTTTTGACACTAGACAGAGTTTCGCTTTTGTTGCCCAGGCTGGAGTACAGTGATGTGATCTCAGCTCACCACAACCTCTGCCTCCCAGGTTCAAGCAATTACCCTGCTTCAGCCTCCCGAGTAGCTGGGATTACAGGCACCTGCCACCATGCCGGGATAATTTTTTTTTTTTTTTTTGGATTTTTAGTAGAGACTGGGTTTCACCACGCTGGCCAGGCTCATCTCAAGCTCCTGCCCTCAAGTGATACAACAGCCTCAGCCTCCCAAAGTACTGGGGTTACAGGCATGAGCCACCATGCCTGGCCAATAATATTAATTCCTGAACGAAGCTGAAGGTATCACAATACTTAACTTCAAATTACCTTACAAGGCTACAGTAAACAAAACAGCATGGTACTGGTATAAAAATAGACACAAAGATCAATGGAACAGAATAAAGAACCCAGAAATAGAGACACATACTTACAGTCAACTGACCTTTAACAAAGGCAACAAAACATATACTGGGGAAAGGATACTCTTTTCAATGAATGGTTCTAAGAAAACTGGATTCCCATATGCAGAAGAATGAAACTGGACCATTATCTCTCACCACATACAAACATCAACTCAAGACAGATTAAAGACTTACATGTAAGACCTGAAACAATAAAAATACTAGAAGTAAACCTAAAGAAAATCATTCTGGACACTGGTCTAGGCAAATAATTCATCACTAAGACCCCAAATGCAAAGCAACAAAAACAAAAATAGACAAATGGGACTTAAATAAAAAGCTTCTGTACAGCAAAAAAAAAAAACAATTAACAGAGTGAACAGACAACTGCAGAATGGGAGGAAATGTTTCCAAACTATACATCCAACGGGGGACTGGTATCTAGAATTTACAAGAAACCCAAACAACAACAACAAAACAAAACAAAAATAATTCCATTAAAAAGTGTGCAAAAGACATAGACATTTTTCAAAAGAGGATATAACAAATGGCCAACAAGCAAAACACAGATATAGACCAATGGAACAGAACAGAGGTCTCAGAGGCAACACAACATATCTACAACCATCCGAACTTTGACAAACCAGACAAAAACAAGCAATGGGGAAAGGAGTCCCTGTTTAATAAATGGTGTTAGGAAAACTGGCTAGCCATGTGGTGAAAGCAGAAACTGGATTCCTTCCTGACACCTTACACTAAAATTAACTCCAGATGGATTAAAGACTTATAACACCTAACACCATAAAAACCCTAGAAGAAAATCTAGGCAAAACCACTCAGGACATAGGCGTAGGCAAGGACTTCATGACCAAAACACCAAAAGCATTGGCAACAAAAGCCAAAATAGACAAATGGGACCTAATCAAACTCCACAGCTTCTGCACAGCAAAAGAAACAGTCATTAGAGTGAACCAGCCACCAAAGAATGGGAAAAAATTTTTGCAGTCTACCCATCTGACAAAGGGCTCATATCCAGAATTTACAAAGAACTAAAACAGATTTACAAGAAAAAAACTAACAAGCCCATTCAAAAGTGGGCAAAGGATATGAACATACACTTTACAAAAAAGACATACATGAGGCCAACAAACATATGAAAAAATGCTCATCATCACTGGTCATTAGAGAAACGCAAATCAAAACTACACTGAGATACCATCTCACGCCAGTTCAAATGGCAATCATTAAAAAATCTAGATAGAGACAGCAGATGCTGGAGAGGACGTGGAGAAATAGGAACACTTTTACACTGTTGGTGGGAGTGTAAATTAGTTCAACCATTGTGGAAGACAGTGTGGCGATTCCTCAAAGACCTAGAAATAGGAATTCCATTTGACCCAGCAATCCCATTACTGGGTATATATCCAAAGGATTATAAATCGTTCTACTATAAGGACACATGCACACGAATGTTCATTGTGGCACTGTTTACAATAGC